TCCATGTTTGGCACTTCTTTACAAAAAATCTGTTTTCAAAAATGATGTGCCGGATTTGGACTCTTTGGTTCAGATTTAGAACCGTGACAATTCGAGTCTGAACTATAGCGTGAGGCCCACGGGCGCGTCTACACATCCATGCCGGAATTTCGCCATGAATTTTGTTTTCAGAAAGAGATAAAACTTCTAGTTTGTCTTGGAAGCGCAAGAAATTTGGGAATTCCCTCAAGTTGCATGAATTTAACTCTAACATCTTTAATTTTTTAAGACTGTTATTTGAAGTTTTTTTGGTTAGAACTGTTAATTTGTTACCAGACAAATAGAGATCGGTAAGATTTTTGAGCATCAGAAAAATTTCAAGTTCCAAGCCACCGAGGTTATTGAAAGAAAGATCTAGAAATTCAAGATTCTTTACCTCAGAGAATGACCTTGGGGTTGGGCTTTGCAATTGATTAATTGAAAGATCTAGCGAAATTAGATGGGTTAGGTTCGTTATATGGGATGTTATTTCACCACTTAAGTGATTGGAGTTCAGGTCTAAATGAGTAAGTTGAGTTAGGTTTGAAAGAAATGATGGGATCGAACCGTATAGATTGATTTCACTAAGGTGCAATTCAGTGAGTTCAATTAGCTTACCAAGAAATGGCAGGGTCCCTACATTAAATTGGTTGGATGAAAGTGACATGTAATTGAGTTGGGTCAAATTACCAAGTGAAACTGGAAGGGACCCTGAGAAATAGCAGTCAGAGAAATTTAACACATTCAAGAAATGAAGATTTCCAATCGAATCTGGTAGCTTCCCTGAGAAACTGGTGTCAGAAAGTGTCAAATACTGAAGAGGGCTGACTGGGTGAAATTTGGGCAAATGACCAGTGAGATTTTTATTGAAACGCACATTGAGAACTTGAAGCTTTGGTAGATAGAATATGCTTATTGGGAACTCACCACGCAACCCACAATTTTCCAGGACGAGGGTTGTCAAGGAAGTTAAGTTGGCCAATGTATCAGGTACTTCAGAAGATATGCTCACGTCATTGAGACGAAGCACTTTGAGGTTAGTCAAGTTTTGAAGTAGGCTTCTCAGACCAGGCTTTTCAAGTTTCAGTAGTCCTGAATTTGATGAGTCTACATTGAAAGAAAGATCAATGGAAACCAATTTGGACAATTTTGAGATTTCCAAAGGGATTTGACCGGAAAATACAGAGGAGGAAAGGTTGAGACTTACTAGCCCTGAGAGATGGCTAATTTCTGATGGAATGCGAGAGTAATCGAAGTCATTATAAGCAAGGTTAAGTCGCTGAAGGTGAACTAGGCTGAAGAGGCTGCTGCTTGAATTGATAGAACCGTGGAGGAAACTGCTGCTGAGGTCAAGGCCAATCACATGACCCGTATCCTCATCGCATTTGACACCATCCCATGAGCAGCAGTTGCCACTATCTCCTTCGAGCTTCCATGATGCAACCTTCGGATAAGCAGAAGGATCACTAGAAGTGGATTTGTCAATTGAAAAGCTTTGTTTGAATTGCAACAGGGCGGAGCTCTCGTCTGCATGGCATAGTGGCTGCTCAGCAGACAAAGAGTTAGCCATTATTGTTATAAGATGAAAGCAGGAGAGTGATAAGAAGAGTACATGCATGAACAGAAAGAGATGCAAAGAGGAACCCATATTCAGTTTACTTGATTTCTCTGAGCACTCTTGGATGAAAGAAAGACAATGCTAACATGGAGCTTTTTATAGACAAGATTTTTAGTGTTGGATTGGTTGGGGTGTTTGTTTGGAAAGATTGGAGGGGGGATTGGATTTCATGTTCATTTTATGAAGGAGTGTGTTGTTTGGTTGAAAATTGGTAGGCCGAATTACGAGTCCAAACAAGCTTCGTGTCCTTCATGTGTGGGATTGTTGTATCTTAGAGGGGGAGGTAAGATATTTAGTGGGATAACAATCTAATGGGATTAACTCGTAAAAAGATATCCCCCACCCTAAAATACATGTATCTTAATTTTATTTATTTTTTTAATTTTTTCAAATGATGATATAAAAATTCATTTTTAAGTAATGGGATAAATATTCAATTTTTTTTTTTTTTTTAACAATCACATAGACAAATTGTTTAGTTTCGTTATGTATTGTACTTATGCTACATTTCTTTAGGCAGAAAACATTTTTTAAAAAATGTTTTGTATTTGGACAGAAAATGGCAACGGAAAATATTTTTCTTGGTTAATGAAAAGCAAGCCTATTTGGATAGAAAATATTTTTCACTTTCAAAAGGGGGAAAATGTTTTCCAAACTAAAATTTTATCAATGTCACCACACCACCACCTCCACTCTCACCTCCACCACCACACCACCATCACTACGGTTACTGCCACCATCACCATCGCTCCACCACCATGCCACCACCTCCACCACCACCATCACCACCACCACCACGGCATCACCAAACATAGAAAAAAATTTTCTTCGGAAAACATTTTCTAGAAAAAAATATTTATTAGAAAATGTTTTCTGCCCAAGCAAATAGAGCGTTAATAAAATAAAATTAAATTAAAGGTCTCAATTAAAAAATAAAATAAATTCATTTAATTTTTAATGATATTTTGTTTATTTAATTTTTTAAAAGTTCTAGTAAATAAATAAAATATTAAAGACAAATTTAGTATTGTTATTACGTAGTAAATAATTAAAAAATATAAAATTATGCCATTTTCTTTTTTAGTTATAAGGTGCATATGGTACACACCTTGTACATAGTGTTTTCCAAAAACATATTCATTCATTTTACACTTGAGACATAAAAGTAAAAATATATATGTTGATGTTTATATTAGGATTCATGACCAAGCCATTTGATTTCTGAAAAAGAAATGGAAAAATATCACCTTTAAGCATTTGACAATAAGTTGCTTTTTCAACTTAAAATTTAATTTAATTGGTAGTTGTTTGTGTACATGAATTGAAAACTCACCAAAAGTATACAAACTTAATGGTGTTTATATTAGTCAATATACCCGTATAACAAGATTTTAAGCGATCACCAATTTAAATAGCTCATAAATTATATCTATAAATATCAAGGGGAAGTTTGTGATCATTTCGCCAAATGTGAAGGCACGTTTGTATATTTTTACTAAGCGCCGTTTATTTTTATATAAAATATTTATATAAAAAATATTTTTCTTATAAATTGATTTTACATAGAAAAAATATTTTTATTTTTGTTTTTTGTTGTTTAGCTGACACTTGAAACAAAAATATTTTATTGTCTAAAAGAAAATTTTTGATTAAATAAAGTGTTATTTATGACTTTTTAGTGAGCTAAGATATTTAGGCTCTATTTGTTTTGATATAAAACATTTTTGTCAAAAATATTTTACTAATTTTTTGCTGTTTGGTTGAGCAAAAAATAAGTAAATCATTTTTTAAGGAAAATAATTTTGCATCATTTTTCCAAAAATAATTTACCTTTAAAAATTTCACAAGTCAATTTTATAAAGTTGACTCTCACTCATTACCTTTTCAACGCATCTATCATTTTTAAATAAGTATCTTAGCTCATTAAAAATCGTAAATGATACTTTATTGAATCAAACTTTCTTTTTTAAGTAATAAAATGATTTTGTTTCAAGTCTTCGTTTGTTTCGATATAAAATATTTTGCACAAAAATATATTTTTGTTTTTATTTTTTGGCGTTTGGTTGTCACTTGAAAATAATTTCAAAAATTTCAAAGAGTGGGATTTAATTTTCAAAATTACATGAGGCGGATAATATTTTAAATAAATTTTAAGTAATGTATTTGTAATTTATCCTATATTTTTTTATTAATAGAATTTCTCCGATATATATTAATATATGATGATGGCGACAAACTCGCCAAATGGTGTGCGAAAGTTTTCATTGGTCTCTCTTGGGTAAGGAGGAAGTCTTTATACCATTAGAAAATAAAGAACGGGCAGTGTGATTTGCGTTGAAGAGTAATGGTAAGATGACTAAATTTTTATATTAAAAATTACATACTAAATGATATATCATCTATACATCAAATGCAATTAAAATGGTATTTTTGTTTAGATAGTGTGAAGAGATGAGAAATGGTATTTTGTTATTTTGATTCTTAAAGTTTTCAATTTGAATCAATTTAGTTTTATTTGTAACGTTTATTTACATTAGTAACATGAATATGGATCAAAGATAGTTTTGATCCCTAAAATATACGTGTCTTGTCATTTTAGTCCTTCAAGTTTTAAATTTTGTTATTTTAGTCCAAAGGTATCAATTTGAGTCAATTTGGTTCTAACTAAAATAACAAAATTTAAAATTTGAGAGATTAAAATGACAAGAAATACATACTTTAAGGACCAAACTGTCTTTTATCCAATGATAAAGTATTTTTTTCATTATCAATGCAAACGAACGTTCAACCTAGGATCAAATTAACTCAAATTGATAATTTTGAGGACCAAATGACAAAATTAAAACTTAAGAAACTAAAATGAAAAACAACGCATACTTTAGGGACTAAAAATGTTTGGGCAAACTTCACTTTATATGGTTTGGGCCATGTGCGATTTAATGAAAAAGACGAAAATATCCCTATATTTTTTTCATTTAATTGGATGGCAAAGTGCACTTTAACCTTCTGTATTTTATTCCATGTGCAATTTATCTCATTAAACTTTGAAAATGAACATGTAATCTCTCGAGGTGTAAATCTGGCCTGACCCGGCCCACTCGGGCTTGGGCTTGACCTGGTCCATGTTGGGCCTTGCGGGCTCTTGCCAAAATTCGGGCTGGATCGACCCATAGGTCAAAAAATTAGGCCCAGGCCCAGCTCAGGTCCATGGGGTATTTGAGTCTTGGGTGGACCGACCCAGTGGGCCTAGGCCTGGCCTCAAGCTTGGGCCGACCTAACCATTTTTTAAAATTTTTTCTACCAAAATTTTATTATTTTTCACTGAAAAAGATACTGGGCCTCGGGCGAGCTGAGCCTTAGACCGGACCTTAAGCGGATTGATGGGTTGGACCACGAGCTGGGCCCACAGGCAGGGCTGGACTTCAAAATGATGGCCTAGGCCAAGGCCTAGGGACTCGAGCTGTGCTCGGGCCTGGGGTCCAAACGGGTCGAGTCCACCCCTGGCCGTGGTCGGGCTTCGAGCCGCCTTTGGGTCTCGGGCCATTTTTACACTCCTAATAACCCTCTTATATTTGCCACTATTTCACACTTGCTGTTAAGTTTGATGAAATTTTTAACAATGCACTTCAATTCACAAATCACGTGGGAGTTATGTGATTATTTTCATTTTCAAACATTAAGGGGGTAAACTATCCGTGGCCCAAATTACAAGGGGTAAAGTGAAATTTGTCCAAAATATTTTTTGTCCTTATTTTGTAATATGCCAATAACATTTTTTCTTTTTCCTTTTTTTTTTCTTTTTTTTATAGTAAAACTAGATTACGACTAAAGGAGTCATTGCTATTCCACCAGCTCCAACTCTTAACCTTCTGCTCACCACACCCTAAGATGTGACTATGATCACTTGACCAATGACACTTTATTAGGGAGTGTTTCGTATGAATTTATTATCTTGAATGAGAAACCTTATGGTATATATCCCTCAAAGGATGTGTACTGTATAACTACAAGATAAAATGACATAACTTTATACTTTTTGAGTCATAACTAAATTTTTTTTGGGTCATAATTAAATAGAACATGAGATATAATTACAGATCTCATGAATCATAGCTAAAATAATGTCATAATTAAAAAAAAAAAAGTGACATAATTAGAGGTGTATATGGTACACTATTTTTCAAAGGGTGTATATTTAAATTTCCCTTAAGATACATGTTGAACTCATTAAAATAAACTTTGTCGCTAAACTTAGGTGCGAAATTTTGTAACTTCTTTGGCATGAAAGTCGTCCCTGCTGTGCAAATGTGCATCTGGTGGGGTTTATTTTAGGTTCTATTTTAGTAATTTTAATTGTTTATTTTTTAGGAGATATGGAGTATATATGTAAAAAAATAAATTAATCGGACATCAATGCTACTTTCATGAAACCACATTTGTTTTCAGTTTTATACTTACAATTTTATTTGCAATTCATTTTTTATCTACAAGTGTGATTTGATGAAAGTGTTATCGATGTTTGATTAATTTGATTTTTTATAGTATATTTTACTTAATATTTTTTAAAAAATGAACCATTCAAATTATCAAAATAGAACTCAAAATGAGTCTCACGAGTAACCCCTTATCCTTTTTTTATAGGGATGTACAAAAGAAATTAAAAAAAGCCATGTGAACCCGTTTATTGACCAAAGTCTTACTTCAATTCATTCTTCTTCTTTTTTTCTTTTTCGTAAGTTGCTAATCTATGGTGAGTCCAGATCCCCTCCTTATCTTCTCTCCTTCACTCCCTCCGTGCAAAGGCTGAGATTCAACAACCAAGATCCAACGGCTTAAAAAAAAAAATGAAAACAATTGAAATCATAAAATTTCCCGCTCCCCGCTGCTATACATACACAGGTTATACATTCACCTCACTCTCACTCTCACTCAGCCTTATACTCACCCTTTCT